ATGGAGTGTGTTCTGAAAGAGAGAGGCCCAGGGTTATTCCCATGTGAACCCAGCCAAGCGCGGCTTCTTTCTTCTTGGATCATGTGAAGGTACTTGGGAGAGAAGCCGCAGGGCAGGGAGAGCACCCCGTGGTCTCTGGTGTGGCTGGCAGCTGGGACGACCCCTGACGGTCTTCCTGCCAACTCACTGGCTTGTCCGTTGCCATTTGAGCTGCTGCCCAGAGGAACCCGCCTCTCTCAGAGTTGGTGGCAGAAGGAGAGCAGAAGGAGAGGCAGAGAAGGTGGGCAGCAAGCATGCGAGGGGGTGGGGTGGGTCAGGTGCGCGGACCCCTCGTGTGCAAGGGCCCAGGACCAAGCTAAACCCAGCCCTGTGCTCCCTGCTGGGCACTCACATACGGACACAGACATTCCAAGAGACATTCTAACAGCCTGTTTTTTTTGTTTTGTTTTTTTTTTTTTAAGGTGTTAGTAAATTATTAGCTGCTTCAAACAGACAAGTCCTCTGTGGGGCACGTGAGCTAGGAATGATGGAGAGTCACAAAATAAAATCAGCTAACCAAACCAGGCATACTGGAAAGTTAATAACCAGTTCTCAGAGGGGTTTTCTGTGGGAGGCTGTGTCCTGGGCACAGAGTGGGAGGCTGGGCCTATCTTTAGCTGTGGGGACAATTAGTCAAAAGCCTTGGTGATGGCCAAGCTTTCCAAACCCAGGCGGGAGCCATCCGAGGGCCCCGGGCAGATAGGGCCTCCCCACAGAGGGGGTGGGAGTCACGCGGGCAAGAGGGGCAAGGGAGCCTCACCCTCAGCGAGGGGGCACCTCTGAAATGCTGGGCAGGGGTCTGGGGCGGCAACCCCCACCCCAGGAGGAACGAAAGGAAGAGAGCTGGCCACTGCTAACAGCAATCCGGGTGCCTGGAACCCACCATATGGCCCCACTGGCAGGAGTGCCGGCAGCCAGGATGCGCTTGGAGGGCAGCCAGCGCATTTATAGAAAACAGACGTGGTCCCGAAGACAAATCGCCTCCATATACACACAGTGGATGCCCCTCGCAGAGGGGATGATCAGAATCACAGCCCGGCCTTCCTCCCAGTCTCCACCTGCTCCACAGGCAGGATGGAGCTCAGAGACAGCACATGTAGAATTGGGGGGTTATCTGTGGTTTGAGGGTGTGAGGAGATCGTCAGCAACCTCCTCGCTTCACCTCTTGCCCCAACATCCTTGGCCGGAGAACTATTTAGAACATTCGAGGCTTTTCAGAGTGGGAGGGATTCATCCCATTGTGAAACCCCCACAACTGAGGGTGGTATGGTGACTACGTCAGCACTCCAATGTTCTGGCCAAGGATGCTAAATGTGTAGACAAACACACAAAAAAATGCCTGAGGGCAACTTCTTTGTTCTCAGGATTTTTGTGCCAAGGGCACTTGGCTCAGAGTAGAGAGATCTGGGCTCAAATCCTTACTTAGTAGCTGTGTGTCCTTGGGGAAGTGACTTGCCCTCTCTGGGCCCACGCTGCACAGATCCAGAGACTGGTAGCAAGACTGACTTCCAGGAGCTGTGGCGGGATGCAAGGGCTCCGGTGTGTGACTCGGAAGAAGGCTATGACAGTTGCGCACTGGCTGGTGTCAGGACAATTATAAGGCATTTTGGGCTGTATTCCCGGAGGCTTCGCACCTGCTGGGAGAACGTGTCTCCGTGGGCTGGCTAGTGGCCGTGCCGTGGTCCTGTGAGTAAAGGGTGTCATGCTGACAGGCCTGGGTGGCTTGTGAGAACACTTTCCACAGCAAAGCCCAGACGCACGTTGGGCTTTTGACACTCAGAGCCGCCTGCTTCCCCACAGACCGACTTCCAGATCTTCCAAGAGCCTGCGGCCCTTCCACTGGGTCCTGCTTTAGTGAGCTTGTTAGGCGAATGTCTCTTTTCTTTTTGGGGCTTTTATAACTGCGGGGTTCCATGAGAAATATCTTAGCTAAAGATGTGCCTTAAGACACCCTGATGTTAGATCCGGGGAGGTGCCTTTTCTGAACATATTTTCCCCCTGGGCGTTGCTATTTTTAAGGCTCAGCAGAATGTTCAAAGGAAGTCTCAGAGCGACGATGAGCGAGGGGCCGATTCTCTCCGTGGAGGAATGGAAACTCGCTCCTTGTTTATTTCAACTGAAGTCCAGCCTTCAGGCTGACTGGCTACCTCTCTTCCTCTGAGTTTCCCAGCACGGAAATGGATTAGCATTTCTAAAGAATCACCCCTTCAGCCTGACCACTCAGAAACCTGAGAAATGAGGGTGCGCAGCTGCAGGGTGCGGGCTGGACGGAGCAGGGAGGGAAGAGCCTGCTTTGCTCTGTGCTCACACGACTCCCGGTTTCTGTAAGGCCTTCAGTGGAATTTTCCATGATCTCAAAAATGAGATAAAAGCTCTGAAATTTGCTCCTTTTAAACAAAGAGGGTTTGGAACTTCATTTTCTTTTTTTCCCCCCTGCCTTTTTGCCCAAGTACCTTCGGGTGGAAAGATAAACAATTTGAAATTGCACCTGGACGTTTCATCCCAAAGATGTCAAAGGGAGTGGGCTCTCTCTCTCTCTCTTCCTTATTGTTGTGCCAGCACAGCTGAGGCAAAGATAATTGGTTTTACTAGAGATTGCACATTCAAGCCATTATTCAGGATGCCAGCAGGTGGAGGAGACCCTGCCCCCTCGGGCCTCTGTCACAAAGTGAATCCTGCCCACAGGCCAGCTATTGTAAGACAGGAAAGAGCTTAGGGATTGTCTATAGTGGCTGGGAGGAGGCCGCCAGGCGTGGGCTTCTCAATCAGATGGGTTCAGCTCTGGTCCTGATGAGTTGTGCCTCTCGGACAACGTAAACTCCTACTTAACCCCTGAGCCTCAGTCTCCTCATCTGTAAATGGGGTTAATGTCAACCTCGTTCACACACATCAGTATTAGATCGAATAGCACGAGTTTGGCTTTTGTGTTTCTGGGTCCTAAAGTGGTGCCTTTTCGCTATATAGATTGGCCTTTGGAAATGAAATTTTTTTTCTTTTCTCAAATATTCTTTGATCCCGGTTGGTCAAATTTGGCCCCAAGGTGTGGCTTTGGGAGGCACTGTGGGTTTTTAAAATGAATTAAAAATTTCAACTGAAGGTGGATGACTCTGGCAGATGGGACATCCCAGAGGTGGGGGTTGGTTGCCTACAGATCCCGCCATCCCCTAGGGTCTCTTGCTGGTGTCATTTACAAACAGGTGGCCCTCAGCTATCTGGGAGTCAGACCTCTGGTCAACACTTCTTCCCATTAAGGCCGATCCCCATTTAGTTGTCCATCCTCTAAGTGACTCAGAGGGCCAGGAGGTCACATTTTATAATAAAGCTACAACCTGAGAGCCCAGGTCTTGAGGAAACCCAGGAAGGCCACTGGAATACCAGAGTACCCCACTCCATTTTCCAGGGGTCTTGGGAAGCCAATGATTCCATGGTTTCCAATTCCTAAGGCAAGAGGGGAAACTGAGGCAGAAGAGTAGCAAAATGATTTGCTTAATGCTGAAGATAATTCTGGTGTCTTCCAGATGCCCAGGGTTGCCTCCTGTCCACTGGCCATAAGCCCACCAGGGTCCCTGCCCCCACAGATAGACCAGGTGGAAGAGCACACCCACCTACGCTCTCAGCCTAGGTCTGAGACCTAGGTCAGGCTAGGTCCCTGCGGCAGATCTTCGGAGTCTCTGTCTGCTCACCTGCAGCCTGGGGCTGCCGTGCGGCGGGTGAGCTCCCAGTACCTGCCCGGCACCCAGTCAAAGGCGGAGTACAAGGTGCAGGGCTTCAGCTAGATGAGAAGTGCACCAGCTCACTGAGCAGTCTCTTAATAGACCAACCCAAATCTCTGGGGTTTGGGACTTTACTCAGACCCAGTATCTCAGGTACATGAGTTGACCTTGACCTCTTGTCCCTGCTGACCTTGGTGCCTGGTCCTGGAGGTGGTGACATTAACCGGATGGCACAACCTCCCAGCCTCTTTCTCTCAAAGCCACCTGGCCTTTTCTGAGCTCCTTTCGGCTGGTTTTGCTCTTACAGAAGGTAAGAAGGTAACAGCTCTGCTTGGGGGGCTGTGATGGATTTCTGGCAGGGCAGTGGCTCTTAGGAGAAGGGGTTCACGAGGTGCCTTGTGATCTGACCTCAGTTCACCCCTTGCCGGTCACCTGCTGCCCTCTCTGCTGTGGCCAAACTGAGCTATTGACTGGTCTGCAAATGGGCCATCCTCCCTTCATGCCAGGTCTTTATCAGCACAGTTACTATTGCCGGGAACCCTCTTCCTCTGAACTCCCTCCAGCTCCAGCACTAGCTCCCACCTCCCAAGCCATGGACATAGGACTTTTGGCCTGGCCTGAGTTCAATCTGTTACCATCATCCCAATGAGTCCTCCAGGGACTGCCCCTCTATACACTGAACCCATGAGGTTGGGTGGGGTGAACACCATGCCTTTTCCTGGACAGTAAGTCAGGCCTGGACAGTATGCCAATAAAAATCAGCCCTGAGATATTTGTTGGCTTTTCAACACACTGTCTTTCTGCTGGGGTTGCTTAGGTAAAGCTGCTGGTGGCCATCTTTGCTTCCACTCTAGTTAAGTTTGCCTGGGAGTGAAGTAAGCCAGGGGATTGGAGTACTGGGGAGAGATGGATGGTGAATAAGACTTTTGAGTCCCTGGATCCAGCCATGCCTGAAGCCTTTAATTCCATCTATCAATAAATACTTTTTGCTTGAATCACTTTGAGTTGGGTTTCTGTCACTTGCGACCACAAGAGACCTCGCTGGTTCACACAAGTTCCTCTGATTTGCTCCTGTCCCTTCCCGCCTAATTCTGAAGCCACACGGCACCTCGCGCATCTTCATGTCCCCATCACTTCACGCAGGGCCTCAGCGAAAGGGACGGAACCACCACTCAGCTTTCCCACAGGGCTGCTGCCCTCAGTCCCTCAGCAGCACCCAGGTGCCCCCAGGTTTTCAGAAAGACTCACCTCCGTCTTATTCCGAGAGAGCACTCTGGAGTCAATTGGGCCCAGGGACAGGTTTGGCAGGACAAGGTTGAGAACTTTCGCAGCGAAGACCTAGCAGGGAGGGGAAAACAAGGGATGTGAGTTCGGTGGCATCCATGCCCAGCTCTGCCCACAGGACAGTTTACAATAAATTAAGGAAAGTGACATCCGAGCTGAACATCAGCCAGGTCCTCTTCCCCAGGCTGAACACCCCGGGACTCTGCCTGCTCTGATTCAGACAACCTCCAGTTAGTCTGGCTCAGATCTGGGCCGTGGGGGGAGCCGGGCGGGAGGTGGGCCGCCGCAGCTGACGGCAGGAATGCCATATCTATTTTTTGCCTGTTCCGGATCATGTGTGGCCGCCCTCCCCACAGTCACTCATCGGTTGCGGTTTGGAATTCTTTGCGGGAGCTGCCTAGCTGAGGTCTTAGGCACGAGTCACTTCTGTGAGTTTCCTAAAAATACACAGCAGGAGCAGAACCACCCAGATCACCTGTGAAGCAGGATAGCTCGGAAGATCCCAGAGAAGCCTGCTCTGATAGGGAAGAATCTGTGGATTGCCTTGGTTTGTCTCAGAGGGAGACAGAAATCGTCACCAGCTTGATCAGGAGATGCGTGGCAGAAGGAAAGAGACCTGATTTGATCCCCGGCTGTGCTGTCTTGCGCACTTGGATGCGAGATCAGGGCATCACGGAGCCCCCATTCCCTTAGCTGTCAGTGGGGACCTTGGCGTTCCCCCAGAGGACCACTGTGTGATAAAGCACCTGGCACACAGTAGGTGCTTAATCCGTGCTCCTTGAGCTTGAGCCCGATGCAGGGACAAGCCGCGCCTCCCCACCCGTCTCTCCTGCAGGATCTGGTGTTTACCCAGGAAGAGTGTGAGCCTGGATCTCACACTTCTCCCCGCAGAGGGGGGCTGTTCTCGTTTCTGCACTGGGCACAGACACTCAGGGGGGAGAGATGCTATTTCACAAGTGAGCTGTGACTTGCTGAAATTAGAATCGCAGGGAAGGTGGCAAGCAGTGAGTTCTCAGTCTTTGTGGAAGGCACACATCATGGAGCCGAGAGGTAGATGTCCCCTCGGTACCCTCAGCGGGGGTGAGGGCACTCACATCTACTGAAGGACAATCTTTGCTGTGTCGCATACAGCCGTGGATGCCCAGACTTTTAATCTTGACACAGATGCCGTGAGGGTTCATCTTCATTGCACAAGGAAATAGGCTCAGGCGTGCATCACGTGGCCAGCTGGGATGGGGACAACGGTCTGGGCGACACTGTGCTTTCCCCTCACACCACTGGCCTTGGTTATTCTCTTTCCATATGAGCGTTAAGTGGGGGCCTGAATTTCCTGTGGGTGACCACACACAGCTGCCATTGGGGCTCTCTGTGGAGTCACTTGCTGGACCCCGCTACCCGCTTGACACTCAGAGCTATAAAACATCCTGTGTCCTCGGGCTGTACAAGCTGGATGTCCTCTCACACGGCTAGGAATCAGGCAGAGAAGAAAAAAGGGGTTTGCTCTTGAAGGAACATAGGTGCACCCAGCCACTCTGAGGTCCACACGGTCAAGTCTGCATGCTTCAGGAAAAGATGGGAGCTCCCTGCCTTGAAGACCAGCCTCACTCCCGACCCCCCATGCCTGGGGTCCAAGCCAGCGATCCCCAAGCATGTCAACTCACTGCTGTCAACGCACCAGGTGCCACGCAGCACCCTGAGCTGACGTATGAGAATCTTGTGGAGAAATAGAAGGGAATCCAACTGGGAGCACTGGGGAAGGGCCTGGACTTGGCCATACAGTGTGCAGCCTCATGGGATGGACAGGACCTGTGGCCAGGGCTCAAGTGTCAAGGCAGGGTCGTGGAGCAGCCCCGCAGACAAGCACATGGCCGGGATGGCTCGGAGTCTGGAGAGCTCTCCCAAAGGAAAGGGTTTGGGTGCTTCCAAACATCTATGAACTCCAGAAATTGGAGGCTCCTCTGGGAACCTAAATTCAGGAGTTGGGATGTATGCTTTCAAAGGTTAAAGGAAAAGTTTAAATGAAGAGCAAATACAGCAGATGAGTGTGTGGTCACACAAGGCAGGGAGGCAAGGTGCTGTGCCCTCTGGTCCCCACTAGGGTCCGACTGCTTCAGGAGGGTGGAGGATTCCATGGGACTTCTTTCCTCCAGTAGGACTGGCCCAAGGGTGACACTGTTGGGGAAGGACTTAATGCGTAGCCCAAAGCTTGAGCAATTGTCATCTGGACATCTTGCCATCCTCGGTCACCCTCGCCATGGCTCCCTGAGTGGGCCTGAGGGCTGACCGTTGACGGTGTGCAGCCCTGCCATGCTTTGGAATCACCAGACATGTTTGGCCTGTGTGCCTGTCTGGTCTGGCCCAGCGTGCTCAAGGACACTGCTGTCTTCCCGCCCTTCAGTTTCCTACCATTTCCGGATTAGATGGCAGACAGCCAAGGAAAGGCCAGGGGGCATACCAGCTCCACAGCCAAGACACCCTCCAGCAAAGTGAAAGAGGGAGTCCACACAGCCTCCGTGCCAGCACTCCTAAGACCACCACCAGATTTCTTGTTCACCAATAATTTACGTTTTGTGACCGTCACCTGATTCTGCATGGACCCGGGCACACAGGGGCCGGCCAGGGGTGAGGAGACAGACTTACCTTCATCTTCGAATCTATGCTCTTGCCACTGGTCCTTCTTAAACCAAAATATTTATGCCCCCAAATACCAAGACCCTCACTTCTAGGAGAAGATGCTGAGAGTTTAGGTTTGACAAGGATCAGAAAAGGCAGCACAGTGGCTCAAACCATCCTTGCTCTGGATTCATAGGGTGGAGGGAGGGGACAAGAGGGCCAGGAAGGACTCTGCCTGCAGGACAGGATGACAGTCCTTTCTCCTAGACAACACTTTTCTTTCTCTTAACAGAAGAACTTTCTACAGCTAAAGGAAACTTTTAGGGAAAGAGTTTTGGAAGAAAAATAAAAGAAGAGGGCCATTTCTGTAGAATTGTTTGCTTTGTACAAAATGAACAAAGCCAGGGGTCCCTGGGGGGCTCAGTCGGTTAAGTGTCTGCCTTTGGCTCAGGTCATAATCCAGGCGTCCTGGGATTGAGCTCCGCATCCGGCTCCCTGCTCAGCGAGGAGCCTGCTTCTCCCTCTCCCTCTGCTCCGCCTTCTCCTCCCTCTCACCACACTCGTGCATGCTCTCTCTCTCTCTCTCTCTCTCTCTCTCTCAAATAAATGAAATCTTAAACAAATAAACAAAAAATCTCAAAATGAACAATGGCTGGGCTTGGTCTCTGTGGAGGAAACTAACCAGTTACAGCCAGACCAGTCGGCGGCTATGCCTCCCTCTTCCAAGTACAGTGAGCCAAGTGCTGGGGAGACAGCTCCCTCCTGCAGCTGCCAAAGGCCTGTTCCCCAAAGAATAAGTAGGAGGAGACAGGGCAAGGGTGCACAGGGCTCAGGAGGGGAGGTGGCAGGTGGCTGGGTCTGCCTTCCTGGAGGTAGAGGCAAATCTTTTGATGACAATAATGTGGCTTAAAAAACAAAAAAAATTAGGTGCTCGGCCTCTTCCCCACAAAAAATTCCAAGACGGTTGCAGGGGCAGGATGCTTGGAACAGGTGCGAAAGATAACCCCTTTCCCTGCTGTTCTTCTAGGGGTTGTTTATTCCATTAGCCTAGAGGCTGGTGGGGGAGGAAAGGGTGAGGCAGGGCTGAATGAATCTAGCAGGGGCAGTGGGTTGATTGTAGTGATGCAGAGAGCCAGAAGGGCTGAGAAGGGGGTATGAGGTGAGGAAGGGCCATGTAGTAAGGAAAGAGTAGGGGTGGAAAGGGCCTGACAGAGCCCACACCCTGAGGATCAATTTTGTTCGGGCTGCCCTGGTCGGTGCTGCTGCATCCCACCATGATCTCCTTAAGCCTCCACCATCGGTCTCCCTAAGCCTCCACCATCAGCCTTCCTAAGCTTCCACCATGAGCGGGGAGAGCCCTCCATCACCTTCAAGGGAAGGCAAGAAAAGCCGGCAGAGGCACCAATGAGAGGAGCAGCTCACCCATAAGGAAGCTGGAATCAAACAGAATAAACTTCTTGTTGCCGGTTCGCTCAGGCTCTCCGGATAATCCTGCAGGAGTGTGGAGAGAGCCTTGGATCCAGCTCCAGGGAGGAGTGACCCCAGACAACCCCCACTGAGGTGAGATTCCCCCTTCAAATCATGACCCCTGCAGGCTGGGTCAGGTTTGTGCCACCCAGTGGTGCTGACTCAGCAGGGACCCCAGGTCTCATCACCAGAGGGTAATTTGGGGGCAGATTTATAGCTAATGGGCCCCAAGTTGCCAGCCTCCCAGCCCCAGAAAGAGGAGACTGAGAACCAGGCAAGTTTTGATTCAAACTCTGGTTCTGAATCACCAAGAAGTCTGTGGTCCTCAGTTTCTTCATCTCTCAGATGGGGATAATGAAACAAACCTCGAAGTGTTGCTGGGGAGGTTACTTGAGACCTGGTTTCCACAGAGTTCCTCCCTAATTGCCCTTCTGGCTTCTGTCCTCAGGAGAAACTCAACAAACTCTCCTGGACTGACTGCAGAGAGAGCACCGCCAATGTTTTTCGGAGTGACGGTGTGCAACAAGTGCCACAGTCACAGCTACAACCCTGAAAACTATTGCACCCCCCAAAAAGAATAACTCTCCCAGAAGTGAGGTCCACCTCCCGATGAGCCAGGGACCAGAGTGTGTCACTGGCCCTTGACATGCCCTTGGGCCATTCCTGGATGAAATGCTGAGCCCATCACTTTAAATACTAGTGATGTGCGCAAATGCCTCTATTGATCCAAAAGGTTTTAATGGCTCCCTAAGATCATTTTGAAGCTTCTGCAGCTGATGAAAGACTTGACACGAGGGAGGGAATTATAATCGCGATCCTCTAAAGTGGCTCCAGCAAGCCAACTTGTGCAAAAGGGGGCCAGAGAGCTAGGCCTTCTGTGAGGGTGCCTTCTGCAAGGGTCAGCCCAGAAACTCTCGGTGGGGGAGGAACGCAGCCTCAGGCCAGCGGAGACTAGGAAGTGCCTTGTGCCTTTTCTGTGTGCCGAGCTGGGAAGGGGGGAGCAGCGGCTCACCGCTGTCTGCCCTGTGGCTGACCTACAGCAGGGGCTCCCCAAAGATGTGTTGGGGAGATGACTTGTTTCTTGAATGCCAAGCGTCTAGAAGTCTGAACCCCTAGCTACGACAGCTCAGGCACCTGCAGGACAGAGGTAACACCCCCTATCCCCAGGCACATCCCAGCTGCCAGATTCATGGGCCAGTTCATGACTGTAGTTAAGTCCTGGTCCCTGGGTCTAACTTCATAGCACATGTGAAAGAGGGGCAATCCCCCCCCACCCCACCCATTGCCTCCTGTTTCCCCTCCACCCCCAGCACCCAGATTGTCCCCAGGGCCTTCTAGAGCCTGGTGACTACAAACAGATGAGAAGGCGCTCGAGTCAAGGGCAGCTGACCGCTGGCAGGCATGCTTTGGGGTGAAAGGGAGTATCTTGCCTCACTTGCCGACCGGGGCTGGGGCACAAGCTGACCTTAAGCAAAACAATTGGCCCCACGTTCTTGTCTGTGAATTGGGAATGACTTTCTCTCCATACTGGGTGGTGGCGGAAAGGAACCGAGATAGGGCGGCTCATACACTGAGGGCCTGGTTCATGGCTGCTCTCTCCTCTCTGCTTGGCCAGGTGCCCTGATTGACAGGGAGTGGAAGCATCTGGAATTGGGTGGGCTGGCTCCTGCGTCCCTGACCCTGGATCCCCGGGGACAACCTCCAGGCAAGAGGCAAAGAATATCATTTAGAAGATCACCCTCCCGGCAGGCTGAGCTTGCCCGTCCCATCAACAACCCCAGGCACAGCCCAGGGGGATTTCGGTGGTTCCTCATCTCACCCACCTAAAAAAGTGAGTGGTTCTGCACCCCACCCCACGTTCCTGCATGCTATCCCCGGGGCAAGGCCAAGTGAGGACACCCAAGTCTCGTTCACACACCCACCTAGCTGGGCAGCCCAGGGTTTCACCTCTGCTCCCTGGGAAGGACTCTAGCTCTGCACTGCCCCGGTTCTGATACACTGGATATTGTTTCCAAATTTCTCCTGTGGTCCCTTCCCTTGTGCAATCACATTCTAAACACAGACAGTGTTTGGGGGCCAGATACCTGTCCTCCTTGTCTGTCCTCCAGGCTAAACACACCCCAGCTTGTGGAAAAGGGAATGTGGAGCTAAGACCAGCCGTGTGCAGGTCTGGTGGGGTATGTGTGGGCGGGGGGTGCGGTCGGTCTGGCATGGGGATCCGGTGTTCCTACAATCCAGGGGGTAGGGCCTGTCCTCTTCCACGTTCCTGTTTGTACTCAAGCTGCCCACTTCGATGATTTGGAGAATCTCTCCAGCAGGAGTTCGGTGCCATGAAATAAACCACTGGCACAGTCCACTGGGAGGAGGGGCGCGGCCAGGACTTGACTTTGCCCTCTGTCTTGGCCACGGCAAGGCCCCCTCTTCCACCTCAGCCCTCTCAGGTGGGAGTGGTCTCTGGGAAGCCAGTCCTCTTGGAGGTCTGTAAGGGAGACCTTACCTATTCCAGGACCTAGCCTGAACTATTCCAGTTAATGCTGATGGGAATAACTATTCCTGAATCCTGAAGGAGGCGCAAGTGGTATCATATGCTGAGTAAAACAACCAAACTAAAGCCAAACCCACAAAAATGAAGCCAGCCGAAAGAACAAAGCCCACAGAAGGCACAGAGAGGGTAAAACACAGCAACGAGTAGCACGTGCCCGTGAGTCCCAGTAGATGGAGACTCCGGTGGCCGGCCTCCACCGGGCAGAGACAGCCCCCTGTCTGTCCTCTCCTCATCTTTTAACGTTTGAACCCTGTGAAAGTGTTATTCTAACAATGTTTAAATTTTAAACAAAGGTTCTCCGGGAAGCTTTCAGGAAGGTTGTTGCACTAGACTAGCTGTGTACAGGGTAATCCAGTCACCCCGGGGGTGGGTAGGCAGATGAATCAGGGACTCTGTCAGTCAAAACTGCCCGAGACCCAGGGAAAGCAACAGATTTCGTGGTGGGGGAAGATGTGTCCTCAGGTCTGGGGGCAACAGGAAATCCAATTTGTCTTGGTTAATAAGAGGAGACCAGCACCCCCCAGGGACAGCTGGTTCCTGATTTGACAAGGTGATCTATTAGCACAGGGCTCGGAGAGGTCACGCTGGCAGCCTTGCCTGGAAGTTCCACGTCTGCTAGAGACTCTGATGGGAAGCCTTGGGGCCCACCTCTGGGCCCTGCTGCCATGACCCCCTTGTGCATTTTATCTGGAAAGCCCCAAGGTCTCTGGCTTGTCTCTAAGGAAGAACATCCACGTCAGAAAATACCTATTTTCTTCTCTAGGGAAACATCCTAGAGGGAGAGTGGGCAGCCCCGGATTCAGATCAATCAGGCAAGTTGTGTGATCCTGGCAGGTCACTCACCCTGCCCGAGCCTCAATGTTCCCTTTCACAAAACAAGGTCACAACCTCTCCCAGGGGCGATAAGGCAGAGGAAAGCAGGGCACATGCTGGGCGCTCACTGAACTGAATACACCTTCCTGAGTCAGAGCACATGGGTGCCGTGAGAACTCCGCGCTCCACTGTGATCCTGGTCTTGCTCGTTCTACTTGGAAAAGAACCCTTGATGTGAGTGATTTGCCCTCATGCTATATAGCGGATTACAGTCGTGATGGGAGCCGTCCAGGAGGTCATGCATTTTCTTGCACATGTGAGTGACCAGAAAGTAGCCCATGTGGGCATTACCTGTGGTTCTGGGAATGACCTTCATTTCTTTCCCTGGCAGAAACAGGGTGGCTCTGCCTGCACTGCTGTCCGCCCACACAGCACTGAAATTTACTAAGACAGTTGGTTTCAACAAGTCAGTGGTGATTTCCTTCCAATGGGGCAAAGTTCAAAGACGTGAGGCATCTCTATTCTGCGGTGGATTAAGTAAATCGTTGTTCTCTGGTTAAACTATCAGATAGTTCCAGGTTTCTCTCTGGCTCAGCCTGTCTCCATTTCTCTGTATGTAAAGGAAAGGCTCTCCACAGGACCTGCCCACCCATCTCTGGCCGTGGGCTGGAGGAAACACTTTGAAAACATTCTTACAAGCCTTTATTCCTGTCCTGTGCTCCTCTACTTGGGTGCTCAGGAGGATACTGGAGGTATCAGTGCCACCGGCAATTATTTAGAAGTCCTGCCGCCATTTGACGGTGAGGCCAGGGAAAGGAGGGTAAGCCACCGGCGGATGGCTGCCAGTTCCCCATGGCCCCATGACCCCCACCTCACCCTCTGAGTCCTTTGAGAGTCCTGACAACTGGCTCAGAGGGCAGCCCCACTGGCATTGGCATAAGATTAACCCTTCCCTGGGGATGCACGGGGTTGGGATTCTCCAACTCTCATTCACTTATGCTCTCTCTTAAACCTCACGCCGCTAAAGGATAGGTCCAGAACATTCACAACCCACGTTCACGTCAAGCAGTCCTGAGATGCCACGCTCTCATCTCCCTTCTCTGAGACGAAGCACCTGTTCCGCTCCTAGGCAGTTCAGTTGACCCCTGAACAATTCAAGGGCTAGGAGCGCTGAGCCCCTGCCCAGCTGAAAACCAAACATAACATTGACCCTCCCTGCCCTGCCCCCCACCCACAAAACCCAACTACTAATAGCCTACTCTTGCCTGGAAACCTTACCCATAACATCAATAGGTGATTAGCACATATTTTGTATGGATTACATAGCATACGTTATATTCTTATGCTAAAGTAAACTAAAGAAATAATGTGATTAAGAAAATCATCAGGAAGGAAGAAAGAAAATCGTAAGGAAGAGAAAATATATTTAAAGCCCTATATCCTTTTTTTTCTTTTTTCTTTTTTCTTTTTATTAATTTCTTTTCAGCGTAACAGAATTCATCGTTTATGCACCCCACCCAGTGCTCCATGCAATCCGTGCCCTCCATAATATCCACCACCTGGCTCCCCCAACCTCCCACCCCCGCCCCTTCAAAACCCTCAGATTGTTTTTCAGAGTGCATAGTCTCTCATGGTTCATCTCCCCTTCCAATTTCCCTCAACTCCCTTCTCTCCATCTCCCCATGTCCTCCGTGTTATTTGTTATGCTCCACAAATAAGTGAAACCATATGATAATTGCTTATATCTGTTGAAAGAATCAATGCATGAGTAGGCTCATGTAGTTCACACCTGTGTTGTTCAGAGGTCAACTGAATGTTAGCTCGTGTACCTTGTGCACATGGCCCGGAGCCCCAGAACCAAGAGCACGTCCATGCATGCCACCACGTACCAGTATAACCGGGACAACAAAATGATGGCTCAAACAGAAGGGTACATCCTTAGAGCAAAGGAAAACGTGCTCCAGGCTGGAGGAGAGCTGCTGCTCAGCGGACCCCCCCTACGTCACCACCACAGACTGCTGGCCCTTCCCCTCCGCGTGTACTTTTGGCTCGAGCTGGCAAATAGTCAATGAAAATCAGCCCAGGCCCTCAACACAAACTGTTAACAAAGGTTATTTTGCTAGATTCCCAACATGTGTCACTTTTTCCCTGTTCAACTTTCACCAAGAAAACACACACAAACAGGAAACTATTCTTCTCTCATCGCTAAGGGAGAAAACACACCTGACTTCAGACATCACGGAACCCCTGTGGCGACAAGGTTTGGTATTTGTGCAAACCTTCACACGGCGAAGGACAAAGTCCGAAAACGGACTCCGGCCCTTCCCCCCAGACTTTAGCCAGGAAAGGACGTGCCCATGGATGCCCCCCCCCCCCCCCCCGCCCCCCCCCCCCAGGCCCTGCAGGACTCGCCCAGAACCAGAAGTCCATTTACCTTGAAAGTCGTCGCAGACTCAGGATTGGCCAGAACCAAGGGTGAAATGAGGACCATACCGGAGAAGTGGCTTGGCCTCTCCGCGGCCGTGAGAATGACGATGGCACCTCCCTACAAAGCAAAACAGGCCAGGGTGGGCACATGCCAGCCTCCGCCAGCGCACATATTTCTAATAAACCACCATCAACACACTCCCCCGAAGCTGCAGGCTTGGCCCGGAGCCCCAGGCAGGGTGGGGGTGGGGGGCTTACCTTGGAGTAGACTCCACGGAATGTTGGATAAACTGGATCTGCAATTATTTTATTACACACGTTTTTTCCCCCCCTCAGGGTTTTCCAAGAGCAAACATTTCAGAGAGATATAAATAAGGTTCCTGCTTGTGGGCCGCCAGTTAAACAACACATTCCTACTTCGTTTCCAGCCAAAAGCTGGCAGACCCCCAATGCATTCATGCCTTCAGCCTTAATATGAGATTTTTGTTTTTGTAATCGGATTATAAGAAGAGATGGCTATACTTTTTTTTTTTTTTCTTCTTGGTTCGGTCAAGGTCCCAGAAATTTTGGTTCCAAGAAAAATACTTAGTGAGCGTGAATGGTGCTGGAAGCATGAGGCCTTGGTTGTAGGCCTGAAGATGAGGGTGGGTGGGACCACAAAGGCGGATAGAGGCTGGGCAGGTAAGAGACGTGTAGGAAGCAAGACAGGCTGTGATAAAGGGGGCGGAAGCCCAGCCCCAGAGGGAAAAGTCCCCCGCTGCCCCCCACCTTTACATTTCATCAGTTCAAAATTCTCTGCCAGCCAACCTGTCAGGCTGCCCGCGGGGAGACGTGCTGCCCATTTGCAGGCTGCGGACTTAAAGATTATACTTGGTGGCTTCTTAGGGGATTAGATACATTTAAAAGGTGGAAAGGATTCTGAATGGCTTTTAAGGACTTCTTTCCCTGGGGAGACGATGTGCCCAGTTCCCATTCGTACTGTACAGGCTGGAGCAAGCATCCAGGGTTTGGGCACTTTCCCTGGGTTTCTCGCTGATGGAAGAGCCATCCCTGCTCTGAGAAATGGCTCTGCAGGGAGAGGCGCCCTTGGGAGTCTCACTGTGAAATGGCAGTGAGGGGCCAACAGAGCCTGAAAAGAAAAGATTGGTTTCCGAAGAGGCCCCACAGCAGAGGTCCTCAGAAATGATGGGCAGGCAGCCTCCTGGCGTCTTGGGTCTCAATGAGAAGCTCCCTCTTGGGCTGTCTCCAGGACACTGAACCTGGCTTGTCCTGAGCACGAAAATGCCCGGGAGCTCCAAGTACAGGGCACGCAGAGAGGGGGCATGCCAGCCAGGCAGAGAGTGGGTGGGGTGGGGAGCACCTTGTCTTCATCACGGGGGTCTCACTTTTCCCACCCACAGCGAGGCTGGGGACCAGTCTTGATTTGGGCGAGGTCTTCTGTGGTCTGCTTACCATGGAGTGGCCCAGAAGGAAGACAGGAAGCCCTGGGTAGTCTTTCTGCATGATATCCACGTGCTGTAACACATCCCTGACGAAAACGTGGAAGTCGGACACTACCATCCTCTCCCCTTCGCTCTGTCCGTGGCCAACTGGAAGGAAATGGGAGATGAGAGAATCACAGTTACCAGGAGGCCGTGGGCCACCTGAGTCCAGTGGTTTCCCTGCCGGAATTACCGACCACTCTTGACCAAGGACCCAAATGTATCATCCCGCGGAATCCTCTCTTTCCAACCACTCTCCCATGTGGGAGTTCTCTCCCTGTTTTACAGCTTCAGAAGTCAAAGCACAGACTGGTTAAGGAACTTGCCCAAGATCCCACAGCCTGGAAGTGGGATAAGGAAGGACATAAACATTGCAAAGCCTGTCCATGCAGCCAGGATATGCTTTCCTTGTGGCTGTTTCCAAGGAAGGAAGAACAGACAGGTGCACAGAGTCTCAACGGGTCTGATTTTCTACCAAGTGGCCAGGAGTGAAACTGATGGGGCTCAGAATTTTCTGGGGTCTTCCCAGCTCCTTGGTCCTCAGGGTTGTGTTTCCACATTAGACTTTCACCAGGTCCAAGTGTTGCATCTTGTCACCTCACTCACAGCCTTCAGTGATGACAATCTGACAAGCACACAATGAGATAAAACAGCCCGAGGTGTTTGCCGGGCGTCTCCGCGAAGCCGCGCTAAAACTAGGTCACAGTGTATTCCTTCTGGACTTGATCATCTGTCGCGTTTCTGCGCTGTTCGTTTCCCCTGGTTCTTTTCTTAGGGCCTCTTCACGTTTTCCCTCTGAAGGACATCAGTCGCTATAGAAACAGCGTGCTGGCGGCTGCGGCTTCCTTATTCAGGCTGCAAGCCCCTCACACGACTGTTTGAAAATCACAAAAAGAAAGAGAGCCCAGAGAACAGGGGCCACGCAGCCAGGGTATCTGCCCAAACCCTTCCTGCCATCTCTGCGGGGACAGCTGTCACGGGAGTAACGATGGCAACACTCATTTCACAGATAGAAAGGGGAAGGACTTACTGCTTAGAACTGACAGGCTGCCTGCACCTCAAATTCAGGACCCACCTCGTTGGGCAGGGGACAAGCTCCTGTGCCCTGCTGTCCTGCTGTCCACCGCGCACCCTGCCCCAGCCCTGCCACCTTCCTGACCATCGCGTGGTGCCGGGAGCCCACCAGCAGTCGCCGTCTCAATAACACCCTCTGCTCCCTCGCCCCTGGAGGGTTTCTTCCCTCCTTAAATTGATTGTTTTTTTATTGTGGTAAAATATACATACCATGCAATTTACCATCTCAACTATTTTTTAGTGTACGGTTGGTTCAGTGGGCTTGAGTACGTTCACCAGATTGTGCTGCTGTCACCACCATCCACATCCAGAACGTCCCTGAATTAAAACTCCATACTCCTTGTCATGGTCTGAATTGTGTCCCCCGCCACCCCTAAACTCTTATGTTGAAGTCCTAGACCCCTGTGGCTCATAATGGGACTGCCTTTGGAGACAGGGCCTTCAAAGAGGCAATTTAATTAAAATGAGACCGTTCTGGTGGGTCTTAACCCTATCCGACCCCTGTTCTTATAGGCAGAGGAGATTAGGACACAGAGACGTCAAGGGCATGTGCACAGCGGAAAGACCATGGGAAGACACAGCAAGAAGATGGCTGCCTGCAGGCCAAGGAGAGAGGCCTTGGGAAAAACCAGCCCTGCGATACCTCAGTCTCAGGCTTCGAGCCTCCGGGTGTGCGAGTAAATAAATGTCTGTTGTTTAAGATGTCCCGTCCATGGCGCTTTGTCATGGCAGCTGGAGAGGACTGATAACACCCATTTCACATTAATTCCCCATCCTCCCTCCCCCCATCCTTAGAATATACTTCAGTAATGATATGCCAGAGTCTTGTCTTTAAAGTTTAAGTTACTGCAAATATGTCCTAATTATTTCCTCCGTGGGCTTGTGTTCCTAATTTGATATACAATAACGTTTGTTAATTTCGAAATAAATTTGTTTCCAGCTATAAGTTTTGTTTTCAATTTAATTTTCTTTCTTGAATAGATACGCACTGATCTGGTACAACGATTAGAAATTTATAAGAAGGGTTCACCCAGTGAAGTCTTATTTCTATGCTTATCTACTCCACCTCTCCTCTCTTGTTCCCTATGGTTAATCATTTTAGTTATTTTCCAGATTTTTCTCGAAGCATTTCTTTTTTGCAAAAAGACGTTGCCATGCGTGGTAGGTACCCCTTGGTGTGAGCAAAGGGAAGTTTCTGCAAACAGTCTCTCATCGGAAACTATCTGTGTGCTAGCCGATCTCTGGTTTCTTTAACAGCAGGCTGTAATAAATCGCCTGGGGGTGTTCTAATTCACCTTGGTGAAGGGGCATCTTCGGGGTGTATGTCTAGACATGAGGTTGCTCGGTTGAAAGGTATGTGCCTGTGTCACTTTGGCAGTTTCTGCCAAATTCCCCTCCATGTGGAATATCCGGTCTTGACTCCATCCCCCAAGTATGGGAAAAGACCCATTCTCTCAGCCAACAAAGCATGTCTACTGGCATTTGGGTTTTTACCCATAAGATAGGGGAGAACGTGTAGTTTGAACATCTTCTCATTCTTCAAGAGCCAGCTGTATTTCTTTTGTGGTGAACTGAGAATTCATGTCTTTGCTTATTTTTTTCTGTCTTGCATTTTGTCTTGATATTGAAGAGCTTCTTCTCTACGAGTTGGTCTTTTGTCCTTTTACTTTGTTTATGTTGTGTTTAGCTGCGTGGATGATTTTTATTTTTAAATGGCCAAATAATAAGTCCTTTCTTCTAATGGCTTCTGAACTTTGATTCTTGGTTATAAAGGCTTTCTCCATTTCAAGGTTCTAAAGGGTGTTATCAGTCATACATTGTGAGTCCTTCTATGGTTTCATTTCTTTTTTTGTAGTAGCATGTACATAACATGAAATTTACTTGCATCACTTCTAAGTGTTCAGCTCAGTGGCCTGAAGGACACTCACAATATTGTAAAACTGTCACTCCTATCGAGCTGCAATGTGCAGATGGGTTTTAATGTCTTAACGGAAGTCATGCAAAATTCCGTCATTACTTCACTGGATTGTGAGGTCATCCTTGTCATACTCCATAGTTCCCACTTTCACTTGAATCTAGTCTATTTCTGGATTTCTGCTCAGTTCCGCCAGTCTGCTTACTTGGGGGCTAGCTCCTGTTATTAAGTATTACAATATCTGCCTCTTCTCTCTACGGACTACGTGCAGGAGGCCCTGGACACTCCCCCGGCTCGCCCTCGTTCCCGTCCGTGGCTCCCATGTTCTGGCTCTCCTCCAATTGTGTACATCTCCTCGCTACACAGTCTCTGGCTCCAACACTTCCAAGAACTGCAGATCTGGTCAGAAAGACTCCCGATTGTCCTGTGGCTCCTCAAACTGCTTCTAGACGGGCTCTCCTATTCACATGGGGCTTCATGGCCCCATCATCCTTCCAAATCATTCAGGCCCAAACAAGGCTGTTGCCTTTGACTTTAATTCTGTCCCTATGGCTAGTTGATCCCTGATTCCTTCTGGATTTCCAGCGGCAGAGCCTCTTGAATCAGTCGCTCCCAAGGGATGAGGCCCCTGTTGGGTTTCACTGGCCACAGCCTCCTGACCAGCCTCCCTGCCTGCCGCAAGCTCTCCTGGCTTTAAGTGGCTCAGCACTGCCCTACTCCCCTTCTGGAAGGTGCTCTGAGCCCACAGTAGCCTGAGGTCCCCCACTGCTCTGTGCCGCAGGGGATTCTAAGGCGAGTCTGCCTGGCCTGGGTAGAAGAGAGTGCTGTATGTGATGAGTGATGTCTGCTAAGGACACGAAGGAGGAAGTTCAGCATGCATGTACCCCATATTTGCCAGGCTGTCCTGGGGAGCGGGGATCCCCTTGTAGTCACCTACACTTCCTTGGGGCTCTGTGCACAAGCCTGGCAGAACGGAGGGGCTTGATGAATGTCCATTGAAATGAACTGTAGGCAGTGTTTCCATAATGGCCACACATCAAAGAGCTTTACTCCACGACTCCGGCTACAGTGGATGTGATCCATTTCCTTTCCCACCATGTGGACGGAGCCTCCAGAACCACAAACAGTCTGTACATGCAACTCAGATTCTCCTTTCCCTTGTGTCTTTTCAAGAACCCTTTTTCAGAAGGCTTATGATCCTGTTAATGTTCGAATAAAAAGAAAGGAATACCCCAAGTCCCTTTTATTAGGGAACCAGTCCTACTCAATATTCATTTTCTTATAGAAGAAAACGCTGGAAAAGATGGCTTGAAATAAAGGAGGAGAGAGTAAGGGCTCACAAAGCAGGAATAACAACACCCAATGTTTGAGTGGCTGTTTATCATTTACAAAGCCCTTTTCCAAAAGTTTATTCCCTGTGATCCTCACGACTGCGAGTTAGGGTTCCAGCACCCCATTTTCCAGCAGAGGAAAGGGACCCTCTGGCCTACTGGATGGAGCTCAGTGCTGTGGTGAGTCAGGTCCAGACTCCACATCCAGTGTCTTTCATTGTCACCTCTGTGGGAAACGGCAGGAAGCGGGAGCTCGGAAGGCAGTGGAATGAAGAGAAAAGCCCTTCCTCACTGGGTAAAGAAACTGCCACCAGCACACAAGGCAGGCACCTTCCCTCCGGGCTTGTGTCAGGAGATGCTTGCACCTGAGGCAAGTTCCAGGAGTGGCCTATCAGCTGCGGTTCACACGGGGTGGGTCACACTCGCCAAGCAGCTGAGCTTGTTACTACCTGCAGATGTGCAAACATGGGCCCCAGGAAGCATCTGTTGCGAGCCTTCCCAAATATTTGAGGGCAGACTACAGCGGGAACATGCAGGCTGGGCAGAGACATCGAAATTAACCACAGCAAACAGCGACAGACGCTCACTGGAGACCTCATGTCTAGGAGAGCACTGTGTTCGAACGATGCAGGCGTGTGACTACAGGTGTTAACATCAGACCAGTGTTTTCCCGCAGTCCCTGTGGCTTCTGAAAGGCACAGGTCAGCCCGGAAAGTCTAGAATGGGGCCAAGGGTTCCACGAGACCTCAGCGTGCCCGGATCCCAGCTTGGCCATCTGTCCTGTGAGA